CAAACACCAATGCCAGACTGCTGGGGAAGGGACAGCCAATCTCACTGGGCAATTTGTATGTAAAGGTACTCTACTGCTTCTCTTGTAACCTGGTCCAGTGGAAGTTGTCCATGCCCATGGCAGGGCACATGGAACTACATGACCCTTAGGGTGTCTTCCAATCCAAAGTATTCTGTGATTCCAGGATTCACAGAACCTAGAGTTCTCAGAGCCTTCAGACGGAGCAAACACCAGGTCCCAGTCAAGTAAGTTCTATTAAATTGAATCTCGTCATTACAACAACATTTATGGAGAGACAGTGTTGCATTGTAACACATTAATTATTATTTATTTTTTTTAAGTGTTTTTCCAGATGAATGACTAATCTCGGAGGCCCGCGGGCCGCCGGGGATGCAGGTATCCATGGTTACCTTCGTTGCCTAGCGACACCTCCTTACGCTGCTGAGCGAGCGCCTGCTCTTGCCGCTCCTGCTCGGTGCAGCCCCAGCCTGCTGCCACCCCAGGCCGGCTCCCTCGACATAGAAGTTGCTCTGCAGTCCAGATTAGAATTAGAGTTGGTGCTTTTATATGAAAAAAAAAAGAAAGAGAGAGAGGGCCAGAGAAAGACTTTGGTCTCTCTAACAGCAACAAAAAACCAGTTGTGGCTCCAGGCAGGATCTGAGTCAGTGTGTTGATGTAAATCCTCAGTTGTGCTGTAAGACACAACTTTGCACAAAAGTTCATTTAGGGCAGGATTTAAGGGTATTGATTCATTTCTCAGCCAGACACAGACCAAGTACTAATAAACTACGGTTTGGCTCCTTTACCGGGTGAAATGAAGCATAGCTTCATTAAAAAAAAAAAAGGTAGTATTTATGTCATTTCAGAAACAGAAGATGCATTTATCTTATAAATGAGATTTAAAAATACAGTTATGAAAAGGCTATGAGTCAGATTCTCCCAATTATGTCAATTTAAGCTGAGTTAATTGCAAATTTAGAACAATAAATTTTACTGGACCTGGTTATGAAGGTCTTCTCAAATGCTGCTGGTTTATGCATGCCATGACTCACCAGCATCCAGTCATGATATACAGAGGTCTGCAATTGATGTCACAGCCTTGGGCTCTGCTTTTCAGAGCATTTTCTCAGAACAATGACTTGCAAGTACTTTTCACCTGAGCACTCAGGATGGTATTTGTGGTCTAGCTGGATTGCTTACACAAACAAGAGAACAAATTGCTTATGTAAGTCAGGCACTTCTGGTGCAGTCTTGTCTGTAAATAGGGATGCCCTTGTCTTCCTCCTCAGCCTCCCCCGCTGCAGCACTCAACTGCCTTGCTGTAGAAACAGATAAAAGAAAAACTTTTCTGAGCTTACAGTCCTGAGTTTGCCCTTCCAAGCAGTGTTCTGCTGAACAAGAGCTCCTTTAGGAGGTTGCTTTCTGGAGTATTGATCTGTTTTTGGCCTCTGGTACATTCAGGGGTGCAGTCTAATTAATGTGCTTTTGCAGTAAATCCTTGAAAGCACCATTGTTTTCTGATTAATTCCTGCTCATGACTTCCTTGAGGTTAGTACCATGGGAGGTGTCTCTTACTCTAAATCTTCCAGAGCAATAAATTCAGTCATCTGTAGTGCTAGATCATTAACTTGTCCCTGGTTTGGGCTGGATCAGCTCAGACTCCTCCCAGCAGTTCTGGGGCACTGCTTGGGAGTTAGTTCAGTACAGACACCATTCCCTCTAGGCAGTTTGAAAGCAATCTACAATGCTTTGGAGACAAAGAGTGGTCACTAATGCTGATATTCTGGATATTTTGGTCTACCCAGTTTCAGTATAAAAAAAGTTCTGGGCATGTCTAATCTTCTGTGAAGTAGTGCAGTGCTTTAACTGGTTTATTACATCATTTACCTGCCACCTCTTGAGCAGGTTCAGCCTGATCACATTTGCAGGAATACAGACAAGTACAGGATTCTCATTGTGCTACTTTTACCGAGATCCACTCAGGAAAATGGAAACCTGCAAGAAATGCATTTGGAGTGCAGATGGTAGTGGTTAGGATGCAGGTGTTTTTCAACCAATGTCACGGGGAATAAGAAAGTTTCAGTCTGTTTTCCCATTTTTATGGATATGCTAGGCTAGAAAGTACCACATGGATTCCCTGAATGATGATCATCTATGTTTATCTGTCAATTCTAGTGTTGTAATTGGATTGTTAGAGGTAGGGCTAGGGCTTGTGAAGCACGTAGCAATTAGGGTTATAATTCAATACTCCTAAGAAGCTCCACAGTTTATTGAGAAAAGATAGCCATGGTCTTAGCAAAGCAAGGGGCTGATGTTGCCAAGTATGACGCTGGTGTCCTTGTACAGTTAGAAAAGAAGGGACTTCTTGCTCATTTGGAATGTTCTTCAGAATCTTTGTAATAAGTGCATTTCTCCTTTATTCCTATGCCTTTCTCAGAGTGCATTGAAATTTTCATTGGTATTCTTTTTTTTTGCATTGTAAATACAACTCACAACTAAGCTCAAATTACACCCTTCCTTTTTTTTAATCTGTATATCCTATCTCTTACGCTTATCATTAAAGTTGTAACTTTCCTTACTACATCTTCTTCTTTGTAAAACACTTCCTGACTGAATGTAATTTGTTTTTCTGTATTAATTTAGGCTAATAATTCCCCTTGCCTCATTTGCAACCCATATAATGATGCAACTTCCCCTTGTTTTGTTCCCAGATAAGTATTGCCACAGTACTTTTATAAAATGATGTAGGACTCTGTTTACAAAAGAGTGCTTCTGTGGTATCTTACTGCTTTCACAGGAAGCTTAACAGCTTGCAGAACAGTAAGTGGCAAATGTTTAATGCAACATTATGCCAACTTGAGGACAAACTGTTCCTCTCAGGAATGTTTTCAGGCTTAAATGAGAGGAAAATCCCCCTTGCAGAATGTGAATTCTTGGAGGCGGCAGGGAGTGACTGCCACTTCTTTGCCTTGCCAGCAGCTCTAATTCTCAAGCACCTTCCAAGGCTTTTTTAGATCAGCTGTAGTGTACGCTTAGCAGCAAGTAGTGATAAAGCTGTGACTGGCTTTTCTGTGGAGCAAAGATTCTTCTTTCATGGAGGAGGCAATAAGTCTTCCAGTCTGTCTCAGACAGAAAACATTGGCTTTTGCACACAGATGCTGGAAAGGTGCTGAGGGGGGAGACGTGAGGGCATGGCAAAGCTATTACTATGAGTAAGCAAAGACTAACAGTGTAGTTGCAAAAACTGTGAGACAGAACAATTCCAGTTTAAACAGCAATGAGTCAGACTGAAATATGTGGAAGTTCAGGCTTGGATGCGAGTCATCCATTGAGAAGATAAGTGGATATTACTGAACTAAAAGTAGTTTGACTAAAGAGTGAAAGGAGTTGTATTTCACAGAATTAGGTTGGAAAAGACCTCCAAGATTGTGGCATCCAGACTTTGGTCAAACACCACCTTATCAACTAGGCTTTGGCACTGAGTACCATGTCCAGTTAATTTGTGAACACCTCCAGAGATGTTCACTCCACCATCACCTCCCTGGCCAGCCCATTCCATTGTTTAACAACCCCTTCAATGAAACAATTCCTCTTGATGTCCAGTCTGAACCTCCCCTGATGGAGTTTGAGGCCTTTTCCTCTTATCCTGTCACTGGTTGCCTGAGAGATGGGGCCAACCCCCAAGCTAGCTACAACCTCCTTTCAGGGAGTGGTAGAGAGCTGTATGGTCACCCTTGAGACTGCCCTTCTCCAGGCTGAACACCCCCAGCTCCCTCAGCTGCTCCTCACAGGACTCGTGCTCCAGACCCTTCCCCAGCTCTGCTGCCCTTCCCTGGACTCACTCCAGCCCCTCAGTGTCTCTCACAGTGTGGCCTCAGCAGTGCCCAGTACAGGGGGACAATCCCTGCCCTGCTCCTGCTGGCCACACTACTGCTGACACAGGCCAGGATGCCACTGCCTTCCTGGCCACCTGGGCACACGCTGGCTCAGTTCAGCTGCTACTGACCAGCACCCCTGGGTCCTTTCCCACTGGGCCCCTTTCCAGGCACTTTGTCCCCAGTCTGTAGTGCTGCCTAGGGTTATTGTAGCCAAAGTGTAGACCCTGGCACTTATTGGACCTTATACTGTTGGCCTCAGCCCATCTATCCATCTTGACCAGATTTAATATATTTTAACAGATTTTAACATTCTCTGTGTTAATCCTCCCAAGAAATAAACCAACAAGTGGTCTCTGCCCATCATCACTATTTTTAATCTCTAGACCTCAACTTCAAGTCAAAATATTCCACTGGATTTCTTTGGGTCCTGGATCCTGGATTCTTTGAAGGGGGGAATTGTGTGGTCATTATCTACAAGTAATCCAGGATTTCCAGGTGGGTGCCTGGACTGATGGATCCAGGATTTCCTGATGTGTGATATACTGAAATCTGAAGTCATAGAAAATGTGTTGTATGCTTTCTATTTTATAGCTAGTCTTTAGGGTAAGGCACCACTTTGGGTGCCCTAAAGATGACAGGGTACTGAACAGATGCTGTGAATTTACTGTAGGGAAGGTAGATAGATCTGCAACTCATGTCTCCTAAAGTCCCAACAGTGCCTGATGACTTTCTAAATTTCAAACCTGGATGTCCCAATCCTCCACCCCAGAAATACAGTATAATAAGGGGGGAAGAGAGGAAAAGAGTTAAAACCCTGTCAGACAAAATCTGCTTTCTTATAAAGAAATGCCATTCTTCACTTTAGTATAGGATGTTTCTAGTAAATCATGGGAAACATCCAGGAAGATTTCTACAAGACAAAGGGAAATAACACCTAGATTACAAGGCATCTGAAGATATAGTTAGAATTCATTACATAGCAAACCTTTATATTCATGATAAAGGGAATTGTCATATTTCATTGTTTTTCATGAAAAAAAATTTCAATTGAACATCCATATTTTGGAGAACTTGTGTTTGTTGAAAAGCTGTTTAAACAAAATTTCTCTTTCATATGTGTACATAGGCTCCAGCTATGTCTGATCAAGGGGGAAGAAGCATTTCCTGTGAGGACCCACAGCACAGTTTGGGGTGCTGCTGGTGTGGAGAGGGACCACATTCAGGACCAGGTGCCTGGCTTGCCTTCAGGTGGAGGCTGGGAGGAGCTGAGGTGTTCCCAGGTTTCATCTGGCTAAAGATTTAGATAGGGTCAGCGTGTGGTTTCAGACCTGCTCACTGGAATGCGTCCCACAGCTTAATCAGCCGGAAAGCACCACTTGGTGACTTGGCCATGACCTGAAAACTTGGTAGGCAAATTACCTTTGCAAACCACCAGCAGATTTTCTAAAGAAGGTACATTGACCAGAGACAGGCCAAGAAGATTAATTTACATGGCAATAAAAACATCTAGAAACAGGTAGTTCAGTGCTCCAAAATTTTTGCCTTTCCAAAGAACTAAATATATTTGGGGAGCGGGTGGGGGAGGAGAGGGGTGTTTCCATAAAAAAGAACTATTTTTCAGCACTAATTTTAACTTCTGTCTTCAAAACTGACAGGCAAAATTGTTAGGCAGGTGAATTTCAGAGGGTCACTACAAGAAGAAGTTGTAGGTTTTTTCAAAAATTATTTTAGCTATTTTAGTTTTCCAAGCACATAGAAGCAAAGTGCTTCTATGAATTCCTGTGGGGAAGAAGGCACTAACTAGAAGATCCTCTTTTATACCCCTGAAACTTGGCTTGGAGGCATGGAGTTTGGCAAGCTTTTGAGGAATTATTTGGAAAGTCCAAAATATACTTTAAATCATGTGGAAATTCTTTCCATGGAAATTCTTTACATGAAAATTACATGAAAATTTCCTTTACATGGAAATTAGTAGAGAAAAGGGAAAGAGAATGAATAATTAAATGTTTACTTTATAGGTAGGAGGATGTACTGATCAATGTAAAGAAGACACTATTTTGTGACATATGGTCCATTTTTCATGGGAATTTCAACCAAAAATAAGAGGGTTTTTTTAAGATGATTAAGTTATGCCTGTGTTGAGGGATAGGAAACATCATAAGGATACATGATGTGGTCTGTATTTCCCCTTACATCCTTGACAGCAGTCAGTCTGTATTTATAAAAGGAGACTACACTAGAAAATTTAAAAAAAAATGGATTCAAGGCCTTGATTATGACAAAGCAAAGATTAAAGTGACAGTAGCTTTTATTACAGTGCTATGCTTCTGTAAATTAAGTCTGAAGCTTCATTAGGCACAAAAAAGATGGAGGCATTTTCATAATGTTTTTTAAGCTAACAATATGATTTATTCTCATAGATAATTAATTTAAAAAAATTCTTTCTTTATGGCAGTTTTGCATTGGCTGCAACAACTTGTGCAACAAAATGTGGAGAAGCATGTTAGTAATTTTTTTTCCCGTTTGGTATCTTCTACAAGCAGGATCCCATTCCTGAGCCCTAGATTCACTTACACATGACATTAAAACTTCAAAGCAGGACTGCAGGAAACAACAATTTTCTGAAGGCAGCAAAGGTCAGTTAGTTTTTGTGCTCTGCTGGTTTTTCCTCAGTTTTATTAGAAAGACTTGAATTTCACCTCCTGGCACGCAGCGATCTCCTATATAATTCCTAAAATTACCATAAGTATGTGTGTTACAAAAGTATTTTTTATGACAGGATACTGCAATGTCCCATATACCTTTATGATGATCATGGAAAAATAGTTAATTTGTGTTATAGTATTATAGTAGATTGTTAGCAGATGTTTTGTTGCCCTTCAAACATAAAAGTCATTACAGTAACGCAAAAAACTGGCGGCATTTTGATTAATTCTCAAATAATAAAAATCCTGCTTTCATGCATATGTTTATTTTCATATAAGTAAAAAATGAGAGCCATAATAAAAACAAAATAACCCTGTAACTCCGCCATAAAGAGAGAAAGTTATTCTCAAGAAGTGTTTCCACAAAGCACTGACAACTTAGAGGTTGTCTAAAAGAGTCATACTCAGTGCACAGCAGTGAATTTAATAAAGAAAAGCTAAAGCAGTTATTAATTGCCATTTCTGGAACAGATTAGTTAGAGGTGCCTCATGTGCAGTAGGTCCCATAAACCAATACAGTAGTGAGATAGTATAGGCAGCCTATATCAAACCAATTCTGATAAAACATCTGGTTTTAGTGGAGAAAATGGCATTTCAGTAGCTTTTGGAAAGGAAGATTGCCATAAGAATCTACAGTGTTGCCATTTTAATTTTGCTATTGCAGCTATTTATATCTCCAGGCACAGGATATCTGGTGCGAGCCATAACAAAGTCTCAGGGCTGTACATTGAAAAATATGATTTCTGAAGTATTTGTAAAAGAATTTCATACAGAAGCCCATCAAGCAGAAGTTTGCATCATAATAAAACTTTTTAAGTCTCAAATATTTCCCATGTTCCCATATGGTAGCATTGAATCTCCTTGATTGATTAACTACCTTCACAGGTTAATGACATCTAAGAAAGCTTTGTTTTTCTTCACAATCCTGGACTATTTGGTTTCTTTTATTATTATTCTTTAGGCTTAGTTATGAGACTGCAAAGAGAAGCCAAAATGAAGAACATCTGCCTGAATGCAGCCAAACACACACTGCAGCAAACCCAGAAGCACAGGCTGAAGGTATGTACCCACAAAAATAGAAGTAGCCATGACCGCTGAGTCACACAGTTCCATGAAGTGCAAACCTGAGATCTGGATTGCATTATCCATAGACTAGAGCACAATGAATAACTTCCTCAGGACAGTGCAAAAAATCTTACCAGTTTTTTGATCAGTGATGAGTTGGAAAAGATGCTTTTAAACAGGCATTAAACATAAAAAAAACAAGTATCAAATTTTCTTGCTTTGCCAAGAAAAAAAGAAAAAAAAAATGTTGTATTTCTAATACTTGGAGACACGTACTGGCAGGGACAGAAACATAGTATTCTTCAGGGAGGTCATCCCACCACTAAAATTCATTATAATTGTAAAGAAAGGAGCTGATACAGGCTAAGTAAGCAAAACTACCAACAGTTTATTCTCTTAAAATTCATATGGAAGTTAAAGTACACTGAGAAGGGAATTTTGTTTCATTTGTTCTCTGCAATTGCGTGGTAACATTTTCACATAATGCAGGTTGACACTTGGAAGCAGAATCAGTAGGAGGATTGATTTTGCTCCCTTGAAGAACATATTGGCTTTTCAATGAAATACTGAATGATTCAGGTGTGAGCTTGACCTCATCAATTTTCAGGCTCAAATTTTTATGTTTAAAACTATGGGGATTTTATGTTGAACGTTACTTTCATGTCTTGCAAGAACTGCAGCTCAGCTGTTTATATCCCTTTTCTTTTTTCATAATTTTCAAATGCAACGTCCCACATGAAAAATTATCATGTCTAAGTGTTTAGTAGAAACAGCTTTAGTATGGAAACAGACCCAACAACCAACCAACCATTGAAACTTTTCACAGGTCACTGTGTCGTTCAAGCCTGGGGATGCACAAAAAGCAAAAAAATGCCTCTGCTAGCCACCTGCAAAGCTGTGGTGAAAGATGCTCAGAATTCACCTAATTTTGATGTTATCTGTTCATAAAAACTCATATGTAATAAAAACCAAACCTGTGAAAAATATAGTTGAGGATGAAAGATCAAGCTGCACAGAAGCTAGGGATCACCACAACCAAGAGTTTCCTCTGAGACCTTAATCTAACTACCATGGGAGTTAATTTTTTGCATTAAATGTTACAGGCAAAAAAAAGGTGAAGAATAGGATATGATTACTTACTTAAAGACTGTATTGAAATACACTTGCACAAGGAACAGAATAAAGGTTGCCAGGAAATAATTTATCTGATGTTTCCTGTCTTCCAGTGTCAGACCTCAGTTCTTCAGCCTGCATTCCCCAATGGATGGTTACACATCAACTGCAGTCCCATAGTTGTATGACTGAAATAGTAAATGAAAGCAAAAATCTTGCAACTTAAGTGATATTATACTCACATTTTAGTATTGTAGTTAGTCAATTTATTGGTTTAAAAAAGAGACTGAAGTATTTTATTCTGTGACAATTTAAGGACCTCTGTCACATTTGAGCCCTCTTGTTTTTCACATCACTGATGTCAAAGCTTGATGTAGGTGACCTTTGGACAATAAGGGTCTGTTATTTTTGGTGGCAATATTAGTCCAGGTGCTAATGCTTAGATACCCTGATGAAGGAGAAAGAGTAACAAGGAGTGGTTCTTCTATGGAAAAAATCTGTGCTCTGTGTGGCACATCTTGATTAAGGATGGATAGCTGTGGCCTCATTTCAAAGCATGGGTGGAGAGATTTGCTCATTTTAGCACGTGTTTTTAATTTCTATTCACTGGAGCTGCGACGTTCTCGAGCCCACTGCGTGGTTATGCTAGGAAGCGTGGCTCTGCTCTGGTGCTGAAGGCAGGCTGTTCTTTGGGTGCAGTGGGATCTGTTTCTCATTCCTAGGCATGTAAAATGCCCAGGCCTGTAGGATATGGCTCAGCTCCCTTTCTCAACAATTCAGTGATGACAACTACATTAACATATTTGGGTATTAGTTGTTTTAGTACTGCCAAATATCAAAGGTTTGGTGGAAAGATGCTGCCATAAGAACTTCTATGAAGAGACACAATACTGTTTTGTAAGAGCTGTGGAGCCAAAGCCAGCAGCTGTATCTCACCATTGAAACAATCACGGAGAGGTTACTGAAATAACTAAGAAAATTTATCAGAAAAAGAACATCTTGGAACTACAGTTATTTCCCTAAGTTCTTTTAAAGATGCTCTGATGCAGTCATAAAAATGACTCCTCAACTCTCCATATGGACAGTGAGTCATTGTAATGTCAAATGCCCAAAGACTGAGGAAATTGCAGGTTTGTTGTTGCTGAGTCATAGTGGCATGTACATCTTGGTAGCTTCAGCTGGCATACAGGAAAGACTGATATACACCTCTTACTTCTCAAATCTTTTCTTGTTTCTCAGGCTGTTGGGAGCATTGTGGTCTACTTGGGAGCTGTCCTAGAGAATAATGTGAGGAATGCCATCAAGTAATGCTTATTTCCTGGTTGTTTCTTGAGCTACTAATTAAAATGGAATGCTAAATGGAGCATAAATGAATATTATATAGAATGGGTCACTAATGACCTTTTACACTAGTCTGTTACTTCTACTGAAAGATCATTTTCCCTGCTGCAGTAACGGAAAGAGAAGCAGCAGGGTGAGAACTCTGTGTGTCTGTTACATATGGTGTGAGCAGCACCACTCGCTATGCACCAATGAAAACAGCCTCCAGTTCCATTATACAATACTGATTTTAATTGTTTATACCTTTCTGAAGCACCAAGTTTAAGCCAAAATATTTAATATCTTTCCTGTGCCTCTGGCTGAATTCCAGAATATTTCAGCCAAATAATTCAGCTCCTTCAATAAATGAGCCTAGGAAAAAAAGTACCATTTTGCTCTTGTTAATACTTTGCGGTCTATTCTGTAAAGTTCTCTAGCACCACCCTGCAGGTATTTTAAGTCTGGCAGAGAGGTAGCTCTCATGTCAAAAATAAACCTTCCTGGAATGCCCATGATCAGTTAGCAAAAGCCCTGTGTGTTATCTCAAAACTGCACGGCCCCAAGTATCTTGCAGCCCAGGTGGTGGTGCCAGGACACTAGGTGAAAGACTGCAGGATGGGATGAGACACGGTACAAAAGTCTGAGAAGAATGCATGACTTTCCAGCTTTGCTCTTGCATCTGCAAAAACTATATATGCTAGGGGCTTTGTGAGCCTCGCTATGCTTTTACATTGATGATGCATTTGACGTTCATATGAAGAGTTAACTTTGATGTCTCTCCTAAAGGTATTTTCATCAATGCTTCCTTGTGGTGTAATCAAACTTTGGAAAGTCAGCTGACATCTGGCATCAGTGCTATTGCTCTCCTTTTGGATTTGTTCTTAATATGTAGGGATTGCATCTGGAAAGGTACACAGGCAAAGCTGTTGGCAGACCTTGCACCATAGGCCAACTAACCTGGTTTCATCCAAATTGCCCTGCTCTAACAGTTGCAGCACAGTGTTGGGTTAGGTGCAGCACACGGATTCTCAGAGAATTCATCAGAGAGATGTGCCATCCGATGGTAACTTTCTGGGGCAGAGAACATCTCTGGCAGCTTAACACCAGCAACTGGTACTGCTCACACTTTGGCTTCTTTAAACCAGCTAGGCAGCTGGCTTGCAAAGGAAGCTAATGCCGCTAGTGCCACTTTTTCAGCAATGCCAATTGATGTTAAATCGGTGCAACATGCAACACTGCAAAACAAGGCAGCCATTGATTTCTTGCTGCTGTCTCAAGGCCAAGGGTGTGAAGATTTTGACGGCATGTGCTGCATGAACTTAAGTGACCATTCAAAGTCCATTCATAAGAGTGTCAGTAATCTCAAGCAGCTCACTAAACTGCTACTGCAATGCCATGAAGGTGATTTCTGGGGTGGGGTGTCTTCATGGTGCGACAACCTCAGCTTTGTGGCATGGCCTAAACACTTAGTAATGTATAGCATAAGTATTCCTGGTATGTTCCTAATGATTGCATCCCCTGTATTTTATCTTGTGTGCAACAAATTATCAGTATTAGTCTTAATAAGATAATGGCTTTGCCAGCACAGATAGTTTTAGCTGTGCAACATTAACAAAGAAGGGGGAATTGTTACCTATAGGTAAGGCTTTATGAAAGGAAGGCCTTGTAACGTGGCTCTGGCCTGTTACTTAGACTGTGTAGAAGGGAACTATGGGAGAGAGACTCAGCTGGAACAGGGGTAGAGAGACATGAGAGATGTGAGAGATGTGAGAGATGTGAGAGATGTGAGAGATATGTAAGATGTGAGAGATGTCCTGTGTGACTGTGCATGTCCACGTTGTGGTGTATGGTAGCTGGTTGGCTTGGGCTTGTTGTGCTTTAAAACTCTGTAAACTGATAACTAGAGAACTGCTTAAAAAGCCTAGGTTTCTGGCAATAAAGAGCACTCTTTTTCACCTGCCTGGGGTCTCTATGTCACTCATTACTGTAACACCTTTATTCCTGCCTGTGAATATCCTCCCAATTTTTTTGGAGTCATGATGATTATGTCAATTACAATTCATACAGGTTCAGGAAAGTTGTGAGAAAGTTGTAGCGATAAGATTTTTAGATGTCTTCTGCAAAAATTTTTCAAACTTCATTGTTACTTAAGCTTTACCCTTGGCTGATCAGGTGTATCACTTGTACTTTTCTCACAGAGTAAATAAGCTTCTGTCACTGACTTTGGGGGGAACTCAGAAAATCTTTACATGCCTTGGAAACCCTATACTGGCTTTCTGTGCCTAGAAAAGGAGCCAAAATAGAGTAGTGCTTATCTGAGAAAAAGAAGGAATTGCAGAGCACTTCTGTCCATGCAGCTTGCCTTGGAGTCTTTACCGCAGTGCAGGTCAGGCTCCTCTTTGCTGACTTTTGCCTCAGTATTAGGCTTTAGGTGTCTTTCGTTTTGTTCCTTCTCACCCATAGAATTTTCCCCCTCCTTAACATCTGTGGGCCCCACACCCTCTGTCCTGCACCCCTATCCTGCTGGGACGTGCTGCCATGCCAGCCACTGCCACAGGGCT